TGCGGCCTAGCGGGCGGCGCCGCGCCTCCCGCCGCCATCTTCGGCCCGCCGGCCCGCCGCCCGCCGCCCCCGCCGCGGCCCGCCATCTTTTGGGGCCGCCATACTTGCCCTGCGAAGAAGATGGCGGCGCCCATCACACACATAAAACATGGCTTCCCTTCAAAACAAAAACATCCCGGGGGCCGGCGCGCGCCGGCGCTCACCTGAGGACCACATGGTGACCGAGAACTCGCCCTCCAGGGTCTTGATCTGCACCTGCTTCTGCTCCCACTTCTTGTTGCCCGCGTCCGCGCCGCCCGCCGCCCCGGCCCCGCCGCCGAGGTAGCCCTTCTTGCCGCTCTTCTTGCCGCCGCCCTTCTTGACGCGGCCGCCGCCCGACGACGACGAGCCGCCGCCGCCGCTCTTGCCGGCCGCCGCCACGGTGACCAGCGTCTGCTCGATGTAGTCGTCGTCGCCGCCGGCCGGCGCGGGCACCGGGATGAGGATCTGGTCCTCGAAGCCGTCCTCGGCGCGCAGCCCGTCCGAGTCGTCGCCGCCCACCACCTCCTCGCGCGTCTGCACCAGGATCACCTCCTGGTGGTGGTGCACCTGGGTCGGGTCGTCGGTGACGAGCGGCTGCAGCGCGATCATGGGCGGGTGGTGGTGGTGGTGGTGGTGGTGGTGGCCCGCGTGCCCGTGGCCGCCCCCGCCGCCGTGGTCGCCGCCGCCGCCGTCCTCGTCGTCGTCGTCCTCCTCCTCCTCCTCGCCCACCACCGTGGTCTCGATGGTCTCCACCGGGATGGTCTCCACCTCGATCTCGTGCAGCTCCACGATCTCGGCCGGCATCTCCGAGCCGTCCGTGGCGATGTAGAGGGTGTCGCCCGAGGCCATGGCTGAGGGTTCCGCCGCCACGGCCGCGGCGGCCTCGGCTCCGGGGCTACGGGCGGGCGGGCGAGGAGGCGGCCGGCCGTGGGGAAGGAAGGCAGAGGGAGGAAGGCGGCGGGCGGGCGGGGGGAGAGGGGGCGGGCGGCGGGGGGAAGGGGCGGGCGCGGCGGCGGCGGCGGCGGGCTTCCCCGCCTCCTCGCCTCGGTGCGCCCCGCGCTCGCTCGGCCGCTGCTCGCCCCGGCGCCCCGCCTCGCCGCGCCTTGGCCACCCGCTCTGGCCGCGCCTCCTCCCGCCCTCCGGGCCGGCGCTCCGCTTCCCCCTTCCTCCTGCGCCTCCGCCTCCTTCCACACAAATACCAACTCCTCACCCCGAGCCCAGATCTCGCCGCCGCCGCCGCCGCCACACTCCGCTCAGGCTCGGCCTCGCGAGACTTCCGCGCTGGCCTCGGCCCGCCCCGCCTCGCTCCCACTCGCCCGCTGGCCCTCTCGCTCCTCCCCCTCTGCCAATCGATCTGCCCGTTCGCCACCGCGACCCCGCCCACTCACCCGGGCTCCTCCCGGATTGGGGTCGACGGGGCGGCCCCCGCGCGCGCTGGCTGGCCGCGGCGCGTGACGTCAGCGCGCAGCCGCCGCCGCCGCCGCCGCCGCCGCCGCCGCCGCGAGTCGCGTGGCTCCCGCCCTCCGCGGTGCCACAGCAGCGAAATCCGCCGCCCCGGGCCCGGGGCACACTCGGGAGCGGGGCGTCGCCGCTGCAGCCGCCGCCTCGGGAGCCGGTGAGCGGTGCGCGGCCCCCGGCGCCGCGGGGGAGAGGTCCTGCGGGGCAGGGCGGGGCCGGCCGCGCGCGGGGTCTCGGCCGGCGATCGGCCCGGGGGCCGCGCGGGGGAGCGGGCGGCGCGCGCGGGGCGGCCCGGGCGCCCAATAAAGTCTGCTTTGACGAGAAACGCCTGTGCTTCCTTTTTCGCGTCGGGCGGCGTTTGCTCGTGGCGCCTGGCTCCAGGCGGGCGATGGCGGCGGTGAGTGTGGAAGGCCAGGCGAACAAAGGCGGGCGGGCCGCAGAGGAGCATGTCCGCGGGCCGCCGCGGGCCCGCATCGCGCCGCGAGCGCCCGTCCCCGCGCCGCTGCGGGCCCGGGGACCGAGTTCAGGTGGGCCGCGCCGGGCGGCCGGGGCGGGGCGGCCGAGCGGAAGCGGCGCGCGGAGCCCCCAGGTCCACCGTTGGGAGGATGTCCGTTATCCTTTTGTGACCCGCGGAAACCCGAGACGGGGCCGTTGGGTGCCCGCTTCCCTGTAGAGCTTGGAACTACGGGGCCCTTGCCGCTCGTCGTGTGGCTCGGCTCATTATGGCTTTCTAGAAGCTTTCCTTCGGAGCTTCTCTTTCTTCGCTCTCTAGCCAATCAGTGTTTCCCTTGACCACCGTCTTCACCTATTTCTCACTTTCGTAGACACTCCTCCTTGTGCCCACCAGGCTTTGCATTGGTCTCATCCTTGAGAGCTCCATGGTTTACCCGCTGTGTTCTCCATTATACCTGCCCTGCAACAGAGCCTGGATTTTTCTGGGCACGAATTGACGGCAAGTTAAGCCTTCCTGAATCTGAATAGCTAGCTATGTTGCCGCGAAGTGATTTGACCTTACTCAGCTTTTTGGTCCCCCTGACAGTTGGTTTAAAGCAATAAAAATAAAGACTCCCTGGTTTTTAAGAAAATCTTGGAAAACTGAAATTCTGGGAAGGCGTTATCTCTGTTGTACTCGTTTGGCCAGTTTAACGCTTTGTGAATTCCTTGAGCTCTTGGAAGAGTGTTCCTGCAGTTGAAGCCCATGATTATCCTGGACTGTGATCCGTTAATCTTGGGTCGAACTTGCTAAACAAGCAGGTGTCTTTCATAACATGTTAGAGAAAAGGTGATGCATTCTGATTAAAAAGTGACTTGATCAGTTTAGTTATTTCTAAATGCCGTTTAACTTGACTTTTGAGAATTTTAGTGTAAGGAGTGAAAAATTAGATCATTTTGTCTTTGAATTTGAGTTTCAAAACCTGAGTAATTCCCCTTGGAGTGCTGCACCCACACAGTTTGGCAAAGTCAAATCTGTTGAAATAAGTCATTTCTGGCTTCATAGCTTATAAATTGTGCATAAATATTTCACAAGTGAAAACCAGTTGTGGGAGAAATTTTTTTTATGTGGCTTAATTTCACTTTCCCCACTCTCCAGTACTTGGCGGGAAAATGTCTAAGTAGTTGATACTTACCCACAGATACCAGAGAAATGGTGGGGGAGTACCTGCTTAGGTAGCCTAGCTTCTAAGTGGTAGATCTGTAGAGGTTCACCATCAAGTGGAGAAAGCTGGGAAGGGTTTAAAACTTGGGAAGGGTGGCAGGTGTGACACAGCATTAAGATGTCCCTAAGTGCTGTCCCAGCACCTGCTCCACGAATAGCTTTTTTTTTTTTTTAAGATTTTATTTATTTATTTGACAAAGAGAGACAAAGCGAGAGAAGGGACACAAGCAGGGGGAGTGGGAGAAGGAGAAGCAGGCTTCCCGCAGAGCAGGGAGCCCGATGCGGGGTGGGGGGGGGGGCTCGATCCCAGGACCCTGAGATCATGACCTGAGCTGAAGGCAGACGCTTAACGACTGAGCCACCCAGGCGCCCTCCAGGAATAGCTTTAAAGGATTTATTTTAGAGAGAGGGAGCAAGTATGGGGCAGGGAGGGGCTGAGGAAGAGAGAATCTCAAGCAGGCCCCTCCACGCTCCATCCCCCCAACCCTGAGATCACCACTGAGCGGAAACCAAGAGTCAAGCATTTAATCGACAGCCACCCAGGCACCCCTCCAGGAATAGCTTTTTAAAACTTGCCCCAGAGCAGGGGTGCCTGGGTGGCTCAGTCAGTTAAGCCACCCACTCTTGATTTTGGGCTCAAGTGGTGATCTGAGGGTCATGAGATTGAGCCCCAAGTCGGGTTCTTTGCTGGGCTTGCTTGCTTGAGATTCTTTCTCTCCGTCTCCCCTCCTTTGCCACCCCTACTCACACGCTCCCTCTCCCTAAAACAACAACAAAACTTGCCCCAGAGCAGGTGAGCTGTTAACATTGGCCTTGGGTTTTCTGTGGTGGGAGGTATTCTTACCTTCAGCTCTTTAGCTGTGAAGGATCATATGACTAGATGTGCAAAGATGGTGCACTGCATTGGCTCTAGCCTGCTTGCACTTGGTACTAAAGGTGAAAATCAATTTAAAAAGACAGGTTAAATTGCCACTTCAGAGCCTTGGGACTCTAAAAGTAGGGATAATTTTACTGCTTTTACTCCTCGGTTTGGGCAGAATGAATTCAGCCAATGAGCGTTCCCTCTGAATGTCTGGAGTCCCTTTTTAACAATAGGACAAACAATTAACATTTATTTAAGCTGGTATTTCTTACACCAGCATTTGGGTGCTTTTACTCTTCTAACTAGGAGGGCAAAGATCATGGCTGTGTCCATCTACAGCTGAGTGCCTTGCACATGGAATGATTGTTTGCTTTTTTTGATTCATCAGAAAATGAAGTTGAAAGTAACATGACAGGAGTTGTGTGTGATAGTGTTTGACCATTTCAGGTGTCTCAAAGGCTCTGACTTTGAACAAGGCTTCCAGGCTACCACAGAGATGAATGTCAACAACTGCGGAAAAAACTAGAATATCGGAAGAATCCTAAAAGTCATGCAAAGTTTTCTCAGAGCAGGAGAGAAGTCCGAGCTCAGTAATGGCTGAGGAGATGTGGTGACAGATACCCTGCACGGAATGTGCCCCTTGGCCGCCTGATCAGGACAGCAGCAGGACAAAGATGCGGACTGTTAGCCGCAACTCTTGAAGTCTCCTGCCTCCCTCATTTTCCTAGTGGTTTCTTTCCCGAAACCTCCATTAAATGCTCAAACTCAGCTTTAAAGAGTGCGTGGTTTAGGGACACGTGGAGAGGGCGAAGTTCAGGAGTGAGCGGAAGAATAAAGGATGTGAGTTAGAAGATGCTGGTATTTCTCCCCTTTTCAGGCGATGTCTTATTTATGGATTACAAGGAGGCTAGCTGTTAAATCTCATTGTACCTTATGTGTATCTCTGACAGATTGGGAATGATTTAGGTAATGACCTCATGACACTGAATAATTTCCCTTACCACAAATGAATGTAGCTTCTTTGTGAAATTGCTTTTGGTTAGTTCTAATGTTTATTCCTTGCAAGGTTACCTCCCGTAGGAAGTTAGTGCTTTCTGCTTGAGTGGCAGGATGAAGAATGTTAGAGCTGTGGGCATTTTTTTTGCATTTTGCCCCCAGGGAAAGCAGCTGAGGGAACCGCTCAAAGTCACAAGGTCAAGTTGCCTGGTCTGGTAGAGCTAGAATCTGCATTTTGGGGTGGGGTGGGGGGAGCTTGAATGCTGTTCCAATTTATGTCCATGCTGAGTTTCCAATAAAATCTTTGGGAAAATCAGGTTGAAATTTCCTGCTTGTGCATCTAAATTAGTTATGCCTAGTTTGTATTAATACAGGTCAAATGAAATACTATAGGTGTGTACCTGTTGTCTTAATTATCTAAACTATAGTCCTTTTCGGTTGTGGGATCTGTGAACTCTGGGCTATTAAAAGGATGCTTCTCTCTCCATGATGCATATGTTAGATTTGGAGTTTCTTGTAGTGGTAAGATACCCTAAGGACGTGTTTCTTAAGCTAACAGTTGTGTAACATTTTATGTCCTCTTATAAGATCTTGGGCAAATTCTCTTCCTGAGGTCAAGTGGGCTATTTCAGTGAATGGATCTGCTTACTACCCGTAACTCTTAAGGAGAGTTGTAGTCTTCAGTAATAAATTAGCCTAGCTGTTCTCTACTTTGCTGGTCGAATGGCCCTTCGAAGAGAGGCTAAATCGACTTCTTTGCATTGCAGTTACTCCTCCCACCTGCCCAGCCAGGCACATGCAGTGTATGCACCTGAACAGAATGAGGAGGCATTTCTCTCTCAGTCCTTGGTAACTTTCACAGCCATGCTGTTTCACAGCATAGGCGCTGCATTTGGGTGCATGAGGCAGGTTAATGTGGTGGAACGGAACAGCTTACAAGAACTAGGGAGTTAGGTGGGCCTTGCTGAGAGTGGGGGGG